GAAACATTAGACAAATCAGAGACAAAAATATTAAAGAGTAAGGATCCGAGAATGGAATCCTGGGGAATCAGAGAGAACGGCATAAGTAGAGGAGAAAAGAGGAAAAGAATTATATTGGGTTATCTAAAAAGTATCCGCGGTTTTTTGTCACTAGATGTGTGTTGATGGTCATATATCTAGTGACAAAGTACCGCGGATACTTTTTAGATGACCCAATATATGAGAATTTGTTGCATACGGTGATAATTAGTTAATTCATCTGAAAATCAATATTCAATCAACCGTGTTGTTAACTCTCCTAGAAATATCGCAAATTATTCGTAATTAAAGAGAGAAAAAGGAAATAGTTTTTCTCTACGAAAGAAAAGAGTCATGGAGTCGTCAGGACGTAATAATAACTTACAACTATGCTTACGTGTAATTATGAAATAGATTTTAAAAATAACATGCTTAAAATATGTTCGAAACATAGGTAAAGCATGTTTTAAGCATATTTTTCACCAACTATGTACTACACATACACAAACGCGCGCGCACGCCTCTATATATGTATTGTATATATATTAGGTGTTGGAATTAATTCGTAGCGTTTTTTAATGAAAGAATGTTATTTATTTCACATGAGCATTAAAAAATACATTAATGAAAGTACTTCCCATCACTTGTAAAACGCTACGAATTAATTCCAACACCTAATACAAGTATTATATCTTTCGTATCATTTTCTTTCACTTACTCTTATTTAGATTCACATATTTTACACGTATCTTAATTCTCTTTACACACACAATTATATACTTTAATCTAGTAGAATTAGACTTAAAAAGACCTGTTTCACGCAAAAATTGTAATAAGTTAACATTTCTCTTGATGAAAATTTTCGAAAGGCCATCAGGACAGAAATGTATATGTTTGAGACTCGCAACTCGCATGGGAAATATGAAAAAAATTCGAATAATTGTAAAAAGCAGGTTTTTTGCTTATAAAACGAAAGATGTCAATTGAATGAAAAAAAAGTTCCAAATGAAAAATGTAGGTACTCTAAATACCTACAAAATGAGACATGGAATATTAAAATCGGTCTGTTGGTTAAAAAATAAAATAAAATAAAATAAAAACTATCTCAAAAAAGGCTTTTTTTCACTCACTCTCATCGAGATTTAAACACAAAGCTTTAAAATTCTCTAAAATGTAGCTCTCGTGACGAAAAAATCTAGTCTTGAACGAGCCTAAAATGTACATTAGTTTTTGCAAAAAAATATTTGTTCAGTAAAAACCTGTCTGCAGAAAACTCAATTTCTTCTTCTTTGAACAGTCGCATAACAATTTATATGGGTGATTTTTCTTCTTCAAGAGTTACACTATCACGTACACTTAGTAACAAAACAATTTTTTGCAATTGTATTATTTTAAAATGATTTTGAAAAGTGGGTATCTTTTTTTCGTATAAAAAAATGGAATAATTCCGTTAATATGCATCATATCAAATAGCCGTATTCGATCGTAAGCATTCGATAGCTATATTTTTCTATGAATTTATATAATCTTTATTTAATCTGTGAAATAAAATGTACAAACTTATAACAATATGAACGCAAAGAAGGATACAGGTTTCCAAAACAGGAATATGTTAATTAATTCACATTCTATTGATATAGATAATATTTACCGGCTTATCGAATGAAAGATAACATAGATATAACCTTATTATGACACTAATATATATTAGGTGTTGGAATTAATTCGTAGCGTTTTTAATGAAAGAATGTTATTTATTTCACATGAGCATTAAAAAATACATTAATGAAAGTACTTCCCATCACTTGTAAAACGCTACGAATTAATTCCAACACCTAATATAACATGTAATTAGCGAATAGCATCCTCGTTGAGGAACTTGGAGGGAAGATTACTATTCATATGTGTACAAAAAGTGATTAGTATCCTCGATGATTTACTTGAAAGGAGGATACTATTGCTATATGCTATCCGAGGTGCTACGAAGGCCTTAAGAATGTTGCGTCGAACATGTGCTCGTGAGGCACGGATCTCGGATACGCAAGAGGTTATCTTACTGTGGCCACGTAATGATTGTATCATTCGACGCTGTATCATCTCTCATAAAAGGAAACAAAGTTTTTCGGATGGAGGCGTTATGCATTAGCTACAGCACAATACATAAAAGTAAGCTAACAAAGCATAACAAGGAACACGAACGAGAATTAACACATGTAGACAGAAAGAAAGAAAAGCAAGCATAGAAGTTCTCGCTTTATTCCGCTCAAATACCGCGCACTGTTACCAACTCCCTTCGAGCGGGGAAAGATTTTGAGCGGTAACTTTGAACGGAATTTAAAAAAAAATGTCTGGCATCAATTTATCAAGGAAGAATTGAATTTGCTGTGAATTTAAAAAAAAAGTTACCTTCCAATTATTAGGAGCCAAGATAACAATTTTTTTAATCACTATGACTCTAATTGTTAAGATTAAGAGTTCCGTCTGATAACAATTTGTAATAGAAGAATTTAATTTGCTGTTAAATAATTCTCGAATTTTTTACTGCGGAAAAAATTTGTTAAAAACTATTAGAAAGTTGAGAAACGCGAGCAAAGCAGCATGCCGAGCGGAGTGGGGGAAGTCGGTGCGAGCCTCGCGATCTTCAACTTTCTAATAGTTTTAAACAATCTTTTCCCATAGTAAAAAATTCGAGAATTATTTAACAGCAAATTCAATTCTTATTTGACAAATTGTTACCAGATGGAACTCTTAATCTTAACAATTAGAGCCACAGTGATTTTTTGAAAAAAATTGTTATCTCCTGATAATCGGAGAGTAACTTTTTTTTAAATTCGTAGAAAAATGTCAGTTCTCGAATGCTTCATATGGCTATTGATATGATGAATTAACGGAATTATTCTATTTTTTTATACGAAAAAAAATACCCACTATTCAAATTTGTTTTAAAATAGTTTAATTGTAAAAAATAGTTTTGTTACTAAGTGTACGTGATAGTGCAACTTTTGAAGAAAAAAATCATCCCTGTAAATTGCTATGCGATTGCTAAAAGATGAAGAAATTAAGTTTTCCGCAGACAGATTTTTACTGAACAAATGTCTTTTTGTAAAAATTAATGAACATTTCAGGCTCGTTTAGAGCTAGATCGTTATCACAAAAGCTACATTTTACGAAAATTTCAAAGCTTTGCGTTTCAATTTCGATGAACAGAGAACGAGTGAAAGAAGGTCTTTTGAGATGATTTTTATTTTTTTTTCTATTTAATGAATAGACTGATCTTAATATTCCACGTCTCATTTTGTAGATATTTCGAATACCTACATTTTTTATAAGGAACCTTTTTCCATGCAATCGACATCTTTTGTTTTATAAGCGAAAAAACCTGCTATTCGAATTTTTTTCGCATATTTTCCACACGAGTTGCGAGTCCCAAATATATACATTTCTTTTCTGATGGCCTTCTGAAGATTTTCATCAAGAGAAATGTTAACTTACAATTTTTGCGCGAAAAAACTCTAATTTTACTGAATTACTTGTCATAACCAAGTAACACAATGTCTAAAAATTGAAGAATTATTTATAAAAAAGTTCTACGAATAAGGCTTAAAAGGAAATTATTCTTGGAACACTTTCTAGCCCGCGTTCACGTATTCGCGTTTTATAATCGTGATTAAAAAACCGTATATACAATATAAGAAGTAAAATAACATAGAAGAAAGTCACCGACATACCATTTTGCTTTTAGACAATATTTCTTAAACAAAAGGTAAAAATAAAATTTCAAAAACATAAAATAAATTGAAAAATGTCTTTTAGATAATATAAGCAGTTTTTATAATATTGTTTATAATTTTATAAAATCAATTTTTTCATAAGATAAGCAAAAATGAGCGTCTGACAAAATGGATTGCAAAACTGACACAGTAGGCAATAATGCTATATTATAATGCTATGTTATAATATTCCTATTTTTTTTTCGTATACAGAAATTATCTGTGTAAAGTATCTACAAATGAACGCATGTAAGATTTTTTCCATAATCTTTTCACTTTGTTATAAAACATTTTTATTAAATTATATGCATATTTATTTTATGCTGTTCTGAAAGATGCAAATATGTAACACAATAGTTTTTCAAGAGCTTTTTCATATATGCACGATTGCCTTCAATTCCAATAGAGCTATTTGACAGAGCAATAAAGCAACATTATAAAGATTAAGTTAGCTCATGGTCTATTTTACAGGTGTGGCGGTTTACTCTGTACCCCAATTTTTAATTTAAAATCTTATTATGAAAAAATTATATAAAATATTGTAATAAAAAAAATAATATAAGAGAAAAAATAATATAAATAAAACTGATTTAGGAAACTACAAGCATTTAAAACAACGTGATATTATCAATAATACAGTCATTATTTAAGCTATGCAATTTGCAAAAGAAAATAGTAAAAATTTTATTTTTGCATTCGTAGAATTCGTTTGTAGTTAATTTGGTATAGAAACAAATCACAAATATACAAATTACGAGTTTGTACTTCTTTAATTAGCTAAACAGATCATGATTTTATTAGTATTAATAAAGTGCAATAGTTAGTTTCTGAGAAATAAGGGTCGCTTTAGGAAACCTATGTCAGTATCGATAACTTTCCTCTACTATGTGAGAACAATACCCACTTATGGAGTAAATGATATCTAATAATATTTCATTTCTTATCGGATTCTTTTTTATCATAATAGATAAATATACAGTCGCGATTTATTGGCCGACTTTGTTGAACCAATATACAGGGTTGGCCATATTCGACGGAAAGATGTTTTTTTTTCAA